AAACCATAACCTATACCCTTTCCCAAAATAATAATATGCATGAATCACTTCTAGAATAGTTTTTTTATTACCATCTTCAGCATTGATGATCTTATTATCTAGTTTACGAAAATTAACTGAGCTAATATCCATATCGGGGAATGTCTGTAGAGAAATAATACTACCAGAAGAACTTTGCTGTAGAATTAGAGCGGACAATTCCTTGATAAGCTTTTTCAAAATAGACGAATCTTCTTTTCTAACTGCTTTCTTTGTGTTCTTCTTGGGTGAAGATGAGTTGACGTCCGTACCTTCATTAGAACGTTTTTTACTGCTGGTATTAGGTTGTTCTTCACCATCAATACTCATTTCTTCTTCCTCTTCCAGTTCCATATTAGTTGATGGACATATAGGACATAGTTTTTGTTGATTATCGATACAATTGTAATGGATAATATGTTTGCAGGTTAAGTATATGAGTAGTTTCAAGAGGCTTTGAAGTTGGAGTGAGAACTGAAGAAAGCCTATAGGTAGGAGACATGAAGAAAGATCTTCAGAACATTTGGCATACCTCAAATTACTTTTGACTTGTTGGGTTGCTGTATTCTCGATCCCTTCCATCCGTATAGGTGGTATCCATATAAGTAGTGATGATAAGACAAATGTTTCACCCATCAAAAGTGAAATTCCAGTTGATTGGGAGGCCTCCTTGGGATTAGTTAATGGCAAATTGGAAACAGTGCCAAGGAGATTGGCTTGATCTAATATTTCCACATTCTTTCTACAATCTAGGAATGGACATATGTTTGGAACAGTAAGTAAAAGCTTTTTTTCAATACAGAGTCTATGAAAAAGGTATTCGCATGCTAGATATGTGAATGCTTTGAGAGGAGATATTAAAATATCATTGTCACATTCAGAGCATAGCCCTAGTTCTATAATTTTTTTACCCTTAATAATACCATCCTTGAAGGTTTTAAGAATATTATATGCGAGATTTTTGATGTTATTAATAGGAGCAGTTGATGTGGAAGTAGAGGTAGATATATTTAAGAGTAAAATTTATATGATTAGATTTGTATGTATTAATATAAAGTATAACCAGATAAGTATTTTATAATTTTTTTTTATACTTAGCTCATTTTTATACATTAAACACTCTCATGATTAAAAAAATTAGTTTGCAGATTTTATGAAATCTCATTTCGAATTTGTTAATCTGTTCATTCACGAATTATTTAGTATGGGCCAGGATCACTTGATCTTGCTAGCAATCGTGAATAAATAATTTAGCTTAAGGGTAGACCAAAAGGGTCATTGCTCTGCAATAGGTATAGTTAGTGAGTTGGTTAGTACTAAAATACTTCTATGCTGATCTCTGATTCGTAGATTTAGGCTCGAAGAGCCATTTCTTTGAAATAAAATACATAATATCACTCCAATGAGGCTCATTATTGTTTTGCAATGGGCTTTGCCCTATAATGTTATATAATTTTGAAGTTACGATTGGTTATGCTCCAATAATTTATTATACATATAGATTAGATCTGTTAGCATGAGTTAAGCTTGATAATTAACTTTGCCTTTTACTTTACGCTTTAGAATAGGATATTTTCTTACTGCTTCAGTCTTATATATAACTTCTATTTCCGAAGTAGATATAGAATAATTACTTGAAATACTGTTTGAAGTATCTGAATTAGAAGAAACATCGCCATTTATTCTTCTAGATGGTAGAGTTTGCTAAAGTAAATTGATTTAATAATACTACTCGGTCAGTAAGGTAGAAGATAAGTGTATGAATATTTTTCTCAACCACAATATAATCTTTTACAAACTTGTAGAACAGAATAAGTTTTCTTAGAGCTTATCACTATCTATTATTGAAATCAAGCCAATTAACAGCACTGGTCGGCTATAGGATACTTACTAGCTAGAAAGATATTACGAGCCAGTATGTTCATATCTAGCAAACCAAAGAGGATAAGTAATGCCAAAAATGGAAGTAGCTAAAAAGAGAATAGTGTAATTGGTGGAACATCTCAATAGGATTATCCTTTTGCAGACTTATTATCTTAGCTTCCAAATATCATAATGGAGACTCTAAATAAAAATAAAGTTTATCCATGTTTAGGTCCTGATTGCTTCTGCATATATAGTACTTAATTAGTTCACTTTTACACTTTGTCTAGCTTTTGATGGGAGGCTATGCATTTTAATAGAATGAATTAACTGAATCTGGTAAATTGGGATGTTATTTTTTAAAAGATAAATTTATATTATTTATAAATGCCAAATATATTTTGCATTTCAGAAATATTAACGCAAATCTTCAGATATCTATACAAAGAAAAATCCTTATATTCTACATTATTAGTAAGTAGACTGTGGTATTATAATGCAATACTATTAATTTGGTATAGAATTCATTTTGTAAGATATAAATTATATGAAATTCATGAAGGTGCTGATCTAATCTGCCAGATTCTTAATAAGATCTCGATTTTTAGCAAAATTTAAGAGAACTTAATATTGATCATTATCTAAATATACACAATTGTGAAGATAAATGAATTTCTCTGATTCGATCTCTCTCTAATTTAGAGCATCTTATGACCACAATACTTTACTATCCTAGCAGGGATCAAGTTTCAGTTGGCGAACCTTATTTCATATCTTATTCAACATATGATATTTCTGGAGAAACTATTTCTAAAATTTTTAATCGTAGAAACAAATTGTCTCAAGAGACTACATCCAAGGCATTAATATACCTTAAACATTTTGGTTTTACTTTTTGTTTTTTAGACATTTCTACAGATAGTATTTTAGATAGAAACTACAAGGGATTCCAATATATTGGAAAAAAGAATAAAGAATTGACTGATGATATCATTTTTGATATAATAAGTGCTTGTCCTCATCTAGAATCTCTAGCTCTATGGGCATGTTCTATAAGAGATAATACATTAAAAAAAATAGCTAATTTCAAATTCAAGAATTTAGATTTATATTTTTGCGACTTCATTACAAGTATAGAAATAAATTATTTATCTAATCCTCTTTTTAATAAAAACCTATGCAACCTGTCTTTTTCATGATGTAATCATATTACTGATATCTCCATAAAAAATATGGCACAACATTTACGTAATTTAGAATCTTTAGATCTTACGAGTTGTGAAAATATAATAGATAACTCTAATAATACAGGTACGAATATAACTAATCGCTCACTATATATGATTAAAAAAAATAAAAATTTGCAGAGACTAGATATAAGAAATTGTAAATTAATAATGCATATGTCATGGAAGTACTATGTAAATATTTGGTAAATTACAGTATTAAAATGGATATAAAATCTAGTTAATAGAATTTATATGATCTACCTTCTCATATTTCTGTGAGACACTTGAAGCTAGATTATTAGAGTTATTTATAACCAGAAGCTCTATAAAACATATTGAGCTAGTAATTGGACAAATTATCGAAAAGACTTTTATCTGGTAGTTAACCTAGTAAGATTCTATTTTTGACTCGGATACTTAGATATTAGCGAACTATAGTCTGGTAATTAGTAGGAAACCTATGTTCAGCTAATCATTTCTTAACACTGTTCTGAAGAATAATTCCACTACCCCTACATTATTGCTTTACAATGATCTAAAAGGTCAAAATTTTATGCGATATTATCTTCATGTAGAATTAATTCTCATGGTAGATTTTTGTTAACAGCTACTAAATGAATAACGACTAGAGGCTTTATTATATATGATCTTATAATAAAAAAAGAGATAAATGGGCTATGAGAAGGAAGAGTACAACGTTATTTATCAGTAGTTTTATGGGTCATAGATCCCCTAGGCTTTGCCTATCCAAATTCATATATTACAGAGATTTTGAATCTCCAAGATCATTAACTTTTTTACATCACAGGAGAGATCATCGATTATAAGGGGGCTAATTCACCAGAAAAGTGATAAAATAGATTCAGTATTTGGAACTTATGACTGAATAGACTTGCTTTTCATAGTAGGATCTAGTGAATGGACAGTATAAAATAAGCAAGTTCTCACCCATAAGATAAGTCTCATAAAATAAGGATGTTCTGCATCTAGCAATAATGTTATTTTTTGCTCATATATAAATTTACTTGTCCGTAATTTATTTTTTAAGTAATTTGCTATTTTATTTAACAGAGACAATGAAAATGAATTTTTGCTTACTTTGTTTTTTGTATTTAGGTACGAAAAATGAGTAGTAACAAAAAAACTACTACCTCTAAGAACAAGAAAAATAAGACCCCCAACTATTCTAAATCAAAACAATACAAGCCGAGACAATTTTTATCTTGTAAATAAATTTTGTGCCGTGCCAGTGCATTCGCACTGAAATATTATTATCAGAACTAAAATTTTTATTTTTCTAAAAATTAGATGATGATACCTGGAGAAAAATGTCGAAAAAAAATCTAGAACATGATAGGGACAATGATGATAATGATTGGGTAAATTCTGGTAAACGGGATGATATGTTAGATCAAATGTAAACCCATCAACCTAGTCCATTAAGGGCGCCTCAAAGAGGCATATATTTTTTTATTTTATTTTCTTATTTGTATACCATCTCAGTAATTTTTTTTTGAAATAAAGTGAGGTCTCATAGCCTTGCCATCTTTTATTTTAATGCGATTGTGTAAATAGGCTTTACTTATTAACCTATACTTTTACGGTTACTATTGGGATTGAATTCTGATATTTATTTATATAACAATAGAGATGATAAGTTTTTGTATTGATATAATTGCCACTTCCCTATTCGCCCTCTATATGATTTCTTATATTTTCTTTCTTATAGTTTTTATCACATAAAGAACAGGGTGCAGATCTATTAAAATCAAAATAATTACTAGATTTAAAACTATGTTTCAAAGTTAAATAAGGAAATCATTCTAATACTATTTCAATAACGTGTTGTTGCCTTTCTTCCAGGTCTTTAGGTAGAACAGAAATTGGTGATTGAGATTTTGATAGCGTAGACTGAACATTTACTCGCAGTACAAATAAAGTTTTCTCCTCAAAAGATTCAGAGGGTTTGGAATCTATCCAAGGATCAAGACCAGTTTCATTTTTATATCTTTTATATAATTTGAAATGAATTTTGTCAGTTAAAACACTTGGTAATCCAGTAAATTTATTATTTTATTCCAAATATTCAGGAGTTAATGTTTTATTGGCCTGTGTATTCATGTTCCCGTTTTATATGATTGCACGTCTCTTTAAATTAATAATACCTAACAAAAAATGAACATGCCTCAGAGAGACATCTTAAAGACTTAAGCAAATTGTATTAGCATAAGATAGCGGAGCTAATGTCATTGACACTTAAAATTCATGCTGTTACCTCAATTTCAATTCCACGCTGTTCACATTTAACATAATAGGATCCAATTTTATATCTACCTTCTATGTCTTCATCGTTATGTTTTAATTTGCATAAAGGACATAATGTCTCATCAGTAATTCTGTAATAATCTACATTTTCACTATTACCATCTTTATATAAATTAGGATACTGTTCTAGTGTTTTATTACGAAAATAAGTACAGTCATGAGTTGAATTAGACAATGCACTTATCTTAGTCTCCAGTAAAGATTTAGATATGGGAGTATCCTCACTTCGTGAAACTTCCTTGCTTATCTCTGTTTTATTTTTGCTAGCTAAATCATAATAGTAGCCTGCATATTCATCGTCATCAGAAAGCATCGTATTTATACTGTTATTCTTATTCTCGTCCTCATCATTCGAATTAGAGATATGTGACAATAGGATAGAGGGAGCAGTCTCACGAAGTGAGGATATTTCTGGTGAAACCTTTTCAGGCAATATACTTACCTC